AACAACAAATTAATAAATGGAGGCCTGGTGCGGCACTGTAGAATAAAGCACTGGACCACAAGGTTGGTTTGAACCACAAGGTTGGCAGTTCAAACTCATCAGCTGCTCCTTGGAAACCCTATACAGGGTCACTATCAGTGGGAACTGATTTGATGGCATTTAACAACAACAAATTAATAAAGAAAGGACTAGGATTCTTTTAATAGATACAGAAAAATAATTTGACAAAATCCTTTGACATTTTCATGATAAAAATATCTGACAAACTAGGAATGCACAGGAATTTTCCTTAACTCAATACAGCACATATGGAAAATTTTTCAGTCGACTTCATACTTAATGGTGAAAGCCTTCAAGCTTTCCCTCTAAGGTCAGAATTAAAATAGCAATGTCTGCTCTCATCACTCGTATTCAACACTTTATTGGATATTCTAGCTAGGGCAATTGCTGTTGTTGTCAGGTGCCGTCAAGCCAACTCTGACCCACAGCAACCCTATGTACACAAAAGAATGAAACACTGCCTGGTCCTGTGCCATCCTCACAATTGTTATAGTTGAGACCATTGCTGCCAATCCATCTCCTTGGGTCTTCCTCTTTTCTCTGACCCTCCACTTTACCAATCATAATGTCCTTCTCCAGGGACTGGTTCCTTCTGATAATGTGTCAGAATTATAAGAGACAAAGTCTGACCATCCTAGCTTCTAAGGAGCATTCAGGCTGTACTTCTTCCAACATAGATTTGTTTGTTCTTCTGGTAATCTATGGTACTTTTAATATTCTTCCATAACACCATAACTCATAATGCATCAAGTCTTCATTCATTGTCCAGTTTTCATATGCAAATGAGGCTACTGGAAATACCATGGCTTAGATTAGGCATACTTTAGTCCTCAAACTGATATCTTTGCTTTTGAATACTTTAAACAAGTAGTGTACAGCAGTTTTGACTAATAAACTACGTCTTTTGATTTTATGACTGCTACTTCTGTGAGTGTTGATTGTAGATCCAAGAAAAATGAAGTCTTTGACAGCTTCAATCTTTTCTCTATTTATCATGATGTTATTTACTGGTCTAGAGGTGAGGATATTTGTTTCTTTACATTGAGGTACATCTCGTGCCAAAGACTGTGGACTTTGGTCTTCTTCAGTAAGTATTTTACGTCCTTTTCACTTTCAGTAAGAAAGGTTGTATCATCTGCATATTGCAGGTTGTTAATGAGTGCTTGATGCCATGTCCTATTCATATAATCCACCTTTGAAGATTATTTGCTATTTGTATGATGAAAGAATATAACTCTGGTACATAATTTTTTATGATATTAAGCCACTCAGGGCAATTTGTCAAGAAAAAAAGACATAAAAGCCATCAGGATTAGAAAGGGAGAAGTAAAACTATCCATATTTTCAAATGGCATGATTTTCTATATGGAAAATCATAAATAATCCACTAGGAAATGACAAGAAGCAATAAATGAGTTCAGGAAGACTTCAGGAGACAAGATCAATCTATAAAAATCTATTTTATTTCTATACATTAGCAATGAACAATGTAAGAGCTGCCACCTCTCATTCATCAGATTTAGGTATGTGGTTCTTACAACAGTCCCACAATTTGAAATCTCAGCTCTACTATTTGTAGATTGAATGCCCCTAGGCAAATGTTTTAACCTCTCTAAACCTCAGTTCCCTCATATGTGCACTGGGAAACCTTATTTAACTACCTCAGGGGGTTGTAGTGAGGATCCTATGAGATATTCTATAGGACCTGTTTAGCAGAGTGTCAGGCACAAAGCAAACAATAAATGCTAGTTCTTCTTCTTCACTGTTTTCCAAATTGCCTTCTTGTTAAATCTCAACTCTCAAGGAAATTAATTATATCCACCTTACTTTAGCCCCCCGGAATCTTCCTTTGAGCTGGGGTATACACTGAGGGTTGTATGACTTTTGTAGAAAAGCCAAGGAAACCATCGGTGGCACTGAGTCTCACAGCTCATCTTTTTGCCCTTTGAGCCATTTTGTCTTTTGGTGCTTTGAATTCTGCACTCCCCTCAGATAATTGTCATCAAAAGCATGCAAGTACAGGATAGCCAACCAGGCAAAGGAAGCAATTGTCATTTTGACATTACTTAGAGGGGATACTCCTCCACATTAGCTCCCTCCACAGTAGAGTTGTGTGTGTGTGTGTGTGTGTTTTTAATAAACGTATTAAAAATTGAGTGAACTATTACAGATCATCAATTCTACGTTTATCTCAATGACTGCAGTTCCCTCAATGTAACATTACACATCCCTCTTCCTTCCTGTGATTCTTGTTTCCATTCCTCTGTCTTTCCCAACTTTTCTGAATTTTGTCCTTAGGTAAATGCTGACCTTTGGATCTTAAAGGGTTGACCATTCTATAGTGTGCATACCTGACTAACGTGGTTGCACCATCACCACCACCCACTCCAGATACATTAATCTACTGCTTGGCTAACAAATGAGCCACAAGGCTGAGTTTAGTTCCAGAACTGAAGGGTGACCAAAGACCATAGTTTGGAGGTTTCTCCAGTCTCTTTGTGACCAGTAAGCCTGGTCTTCTTTATAATATTTAGTTTTGTTCCACATTTTCTCCTATTCTATCCAGGACTTTCTTTTGTGGTCCCTTTCAGAATAGTTGGTAGAGGAAGCCAGCCACTATCTAGTTCTTCTGGCTTCAGGGTCATGGATGCTGGCATTCACATGGTGCATTAGTCCATTGATCTAATTGTTTCTAAGCATCTTCTGTTTTAATCACTTTTATTTCCTCCACGAGGGTAAAGACCAATAGTTGTACCTTAGATGGCTGCTCATGAGTTTTAAGATACTACGCGATTGTGTGCCATTGAGTCAGTTCCAACTTATAGTGACCTTGTATAGGATTGCTCAGCCTGTAAATCGCTACAGGAGGGGAAAAAAAAAAAAATCTCTACAGGAGCAGAAAGCCTCATTTTTCTCCCATGGAGCAGCTGGTAGATTCAAACTGACAATCTTGTGGGTAACAGCCCAATGAATAGCCCACTATGCCACCAGGGCTCCTTTATAATTCTTTTGTTTTGTTTAATTTTTAAGTGCTTTCAAGTCAGTTCTGACTCACAGCAATCCTATATAGGATTTCCAAGGTGCTGCTGGTGGGTTTGAACTTCCAGCCTTGAGATTCAAGCCAACCTTGTGGCCCAGCACCACATCCTGCAGCACCACATCAGGATTCTTAAGATGTTGTTGTTAAGTGCCATCAAGTCAATTCCAGCTCATAGCAACCCTACGTAGGGTTTCCAAGGAGCAGCTGGTGGGTTTGAACTACCAGCTTTGTGGTTCACAGTCCAGTACTGACCCAGCAGCACCACACCAGGAGTCCTACAATCCTGTAGACTGTTTTATAACAGCAGTTCCTAAGCCTTCCGGTAATAGGGAGAGCCTTTCTTATGTCAAACCACCTGACCCTAACCTTAACTCTCCCTCTACCTGCTCATTACACAGAGCCAGTGAGACCAAATGGGATGGCATGACTGTGGCCAGATTTGCCTTGAGGTGTTTGTAAGGACCCTTTAGGATGTTCTGGGTATTATGTCTTCTTCAGGGGTACACGTTCCTGAATTAGACACCAGTCTATGCTTTGCTTTCACATCTCCAAGACAGAATCATCCATTCAGACAGAATTTATGGAGCACCCACTCTGTGTTAGGTGTAGTAAAGGCACTTAGGATGTGTCAGGGGAATGACTGTGTTTGATCCCAGCGTTTCTCTGTTTTGTGCTGTGATCTCCAGTGGTCTGTTCCAGGACACATCTCTGGTTTAGCTTCCACCACTTCTATCTCCTAACCTTGAACATGTCCACTTTGCTGAGCAGTCAAATCTCCCATCTCCTGACCTTGTCAAAGTGCTGCCACTTCCCAGATTGGTATCTCAGGATTCCGACCCCTCAGCAGTCCAGTTCCTCGCCCCCACCCCAGTGCCCACAGAAAGCAAGGCCTCAGACTGCTCACCGCCTTCATTAGCAGAACCCTTCAGGTAGCCCCACAACCAAAGCCACACCCACGGCTGTCGAGTTGATCCCAACTCATAGTGTCGTCATGTGCTTCAGAGTAGAACTATGATCCACAAGGTTTTCTTGATGATAATCTTTATGGAGGTAGATCACCAGGCCTTTCTTCTGTGGTGCTGCTGGGTGAGTTAAAACCACCAATCTTTCAGTTACAAGCTGAGATCAAGCTATTTGCACTGCATAGGACTCACATACACAATTCATTACTCTGGACCCTACAACACCTGCTGGCAACATTATTGTCAAGTACTGTCGAGTCAGTTCCGACTCATAATGACCCTGTGTAGGATTTCTGAGGAGCAGCTGTTTGTAGGATTGAATAAGACAAACAACTCAATGCTACTGAGTCAGTCCCTACTCGTAGAGATCCTGTATATAGAGGTTTCCAAGTCACAAATCTTTATGGAAGCAGAAGGCCTCATCTGGTGGATTTGAAGAGCCCATGTTTTTTGGTTAGTAGTCCAGTGCCTATCCTATAGTGTGACACCAAGACTACAGAATCTCATTATCATTGTAGAACTCATTGACCCATTCTGCCCATTGACAGAGTTTGTAGCTTTCTTTGTTTTGTTGTTGTTGTCAAGTGCTGTCGAGTCATTTCCAACCCATAGCGACCCTGTATAGGGTTTCCAAAGAGTGGCTGGTGAGCTTGAACCACTGACCTTGCAGTTCAAACGACTTTGCAGTCCAGCACATTAGCCCACAGTGCCACACCAGGACCCCTTCTTTGTTCTAGGCAGTAAGAAAATAAAAAGCAACTACACATCAGCTGGCTGGTTTTTTTCATGTGTATTTATTCCAAAATAAAAAAGTAAAATTTTAAACAAATTATAACAACTGGTGTGAGTTAGAATAGCTTACTTTCATTTTTTAAATTGCAACAACTTAAAGAGGTGGCATTTAAAACTCAATAAATAGAATAAATAATAGTTCATCTTCATACTCTGCTTCTAATGTTTTCTTTCTGGAAAGTTTCCAGGAGACGCTTTAGAAATGCGAGGGTGTTATCTTCTGTGGTTTGGGTGCATGGCTGTTTACAGGAAAAGGTCTGTGGGAATAAAAGTTATAAGGACAGAATGATTGAAACAATACTGGAGTCGGCAGCCCCAAGCCCACCAACCCAGGAACCACTCTAGCCAGAGCTGGAAAAGGAGTAGGGGGTGCTGGTGGGGAGTGGGGTAGGTAAGTAGAGAGGTTGAGGAAGTCCAGGGCTAGCATTTTGTGTAGATAGGCTGATTTTGTGGTCTGTTTACACACACACAGTTAGTAATCTATCAAGTGGTCCTAAAGCTCTCCACTGGAAGTTTGTAAGGACTAGTGTTGTATCATTACCTTTTTGGTTCCCCATCTAAGACCACTTACAGCATAATTGATAATAGTGGGGACTTTACAGTCACATAGAACTGACCCAAGTTCAAATCTCAGCTCTGCCACTTATTAAGTGGCATATCACCTTAGGCAAATCATTTAACCTCACCAAGGCTTAATTTCCTCCTCTATAAAGAGATGGTTACACATCTAACACTTTTCCTTAAGGTAGGTGATCAACAAAATAGTACCATGAAATCTGTGAAAGTCAGAACCTGTGTAAGGTAGAATTCTGCCAGAGAGAGAAAACTAAATATTTCCCATTAATAACGAGCATTTTCAAAGTGAGAAGATGGCACCCTGTCAAAGGCAGAAAATTTGTAAGACCCAGAAAAATGAGACAGTCCATCCAGGTTTCAATGGTTTCTCCCTATATATTAACTGCTTAATAGTGAGTGCTGTTGGTGGTCGAAATTCAAGAAGGCTAACAGTCAGTGTTTGACACACAGCTAAATAGCTGTCAGACTTCTATGTTCTCATACAGAAATGCTACTTGAGAGTGCAGAGTGCTGGGAGGAAGACACAGCTTCCCTCTCCTCCAATAAGAGCCAGTGCTGAGAGAATACTTATTCTAAAGAAGAGAAGAGATATGCCATTGGCATTTAGGGCAAGTGGCAAGCTTCACCTTTGATCTGGACCCATTTCTCTTTATAAAGCTTCTTTAAAAACCAGTTGCCATCAAGTAAATTCCAATTAATGGCTACACCATTTATGACACCTCATTAGCCAGCCAAAAAGGATCTCCCATAATTTACAGCCTACAACATCCATTCCGTGTGCATATTGATTCCCTAGAATAACTTAGTATTGTGGGGCCATAGCCCTGTATTCTTTAGAGTGTAGCTTCTAATTGCAATCAGGATGAATTATTTCATTGTTCAGTAAGTGGAGAGAAGGAAGTGGTCATGTGAGGGTACTTTTGCCAGCCCTTTAAAACTAGGAAGAACAACAGCATCTATTGGGACATACCTCACTTTAATTCTATTTGTTTTGATTCCATTTCTTAGACTTCTTTTATTGATCTTGAACTAGCAATTCCAACCTTATCATCTTTTTTCATTCAAATAGAATTAGCATCAACATTCACTTTAAAACCACTGACCATAATAAATCACATAGAAAAATAAACTCACTTGGCAGTTTTTCCTATGTAGGACTTCAACCCTTTTTTTCACCCAATTGAAATTCAAGTTGAGGTTTCTCTCCGTTGTCACATTGGTCAGCCGGGACAGTCCATCTTGGAAGCATGGCATGGTACAGTTGTCCTGGTAGAAAATGAGGAATTATGAGAAGATGCATCCTGAGAACAGACAGGCTTTGAAAAGGAATTTCAAAGAGAATGATTTCAGAGACTATTTTAAGTTACCCAATGGAACCTAAGTTTGCATTAATTTTACATAGACCCCTTGCCAATCGAGGAAATGATTTTGATTATTTTAAGATGAGGCAGTCTGCCACAGTAACATTCCCTGCAGAAGGTTCTAGAAGTTCCATCCAGGGAACATGAGGCCTGGGGACTCTGGAAATAGCCAGCTCTGAGTCTCCTTTTCAACAGATGCTTCCATATCCTAAGTCATGTTATGCTGTTGTTGTTGTTAAGTACCACTGAGTCAGTTTTGCCTCAGAGTGACCCTGTTTCCAAGGAGCAGCGGATGGTTTTAAACTGCCGACCTTGTGGTTCGAAGCTCAGTGCTAATTCTACAGCATCACACCAGGTGTTCCAGTCTTGTTATGTTGTTATTGCTTAGTACTGTCTATTTAACTTAGTGGTTATGAATTAGGATGCTAATCTCATGGTCAGCAGTTTGAAACTACCAGCTGTTCCACGGGAGAAAGATGAGGCTTTCTGCTCCTGTAAGATTTACAGCCTCGGAAACCCTGTACAGGGCCACTACGAGTCGGAACCGACTCCACAGCACTTAACAACAACAACAACAATCAATTCCAACTCATAACCACACTGTATAGGGTTTCCGAGCAGTGGTTAGTAGGTTTGAACCACCAACCTTGTGGTCAGCAGTCCAGTGCTTATCCTACAGTGCCACACCAGGACAGACAAAGAAAGGAATAGCCTTTTCATGCCAGCCTGATGAGATGTGCCAACTGAACCCAACAGTGTTTCTGCAGCAGCTACAACCATGGACTATAAACTAAGAGGACGAGGGCAGGCCATAAATGCATGATTCCATCTCATAAGTTACCTGGTCCTTCTACTCATTTAATGGCTGGATGTGATGGGGACACTGTCTGACCTCAGCTGGGGTGAGAAGCTTAGGCTATCCCTGGCCATGCTTGAGGGAGTAAAGCACTCAGGGTTGGAGAACTGCTTCTTCCTTACACTAACCCTTGTACCTCTGTCTATATGGCATTTGAATTAAGAAAAACAAAATCAGAACCTTCCTGTCCCCTTCTTCTCTGCCAGAGTCAGGAGTAGCCCTCTCAGAGCCCTGTTCACTTTCCCTCTACTCACAATCTCAGATAGTCTGTCTTCCCAGAGGGTAGTATTCAAAGCATGTATTCAAATCCACCATGGTAGAGTCAATTCCTACTCAGAGTAGAACCCTATAGCACAGATTAGAACTGCTCTGTAGAGTTTCTAAGGTTGTAAAGCAGACTTTATGGAAACAGGCTTCCATAGTTTTCTCCCATGGAGTAGCTGGTGGGTTCCATCTGTACACTTTTTAGTTAGTAGAAGAGTGCTTTTATCACTGCATTGCCAGGGCCACCCTAAATTCTAAAGGAAGAGAGGGAAGGAAGAAAGGAGAGAGGAAGGGAGGCATGACACATAGAAAAAGAGGCTGACTTTCAGGGAAAGTCAGAGGTTTTGCCAGCTGAAAGATAAAGATTTGTCATTTCATTTCCATTTTTTCACAATACTAGAAATATTGGCAAATCAGTTAGAAAGTAATATGATATGAACTATATAATTTATTACATTCTTCATTCTCAATTGATTTAATTGTGCACATACCACTGATTCAAAAAGATAGCTAAGCTTCTTTTTTAAAATATTGATAAGTGTTTAAATATCTCTAGTTTTATACAGTGTAGAATTTCAAGCACCTGGTATTAAAAGGGAATGTTAATCTATAACTATTACAATTAAGTAACACTTTCATGTTTTAAAAAGCAAATTAAGCACTTTATTTTTACTTGAAAACAAAATCAAGCTTTTATTCTTTTTACTATACTTACAGAAGGGACAGGAAGACACAAACAATCAGTTACCTGCAAGAGAAAATTTTCAGAGTAAAGATTCCAGATGTGAAAATGAAAATTCACTGGGAAAGTTAAAAGAGGATTCACTCACATTGGTACTGCAGTTGCATTTGGAAGGCGGATGTTTCTAGTATAGATAAAAAGACAAGAAACCATATTGGGTAATGAGTTTTTTTGTCTGCCTGTATTTCACCTCAATTTTCAACAATTGTCTTCCCTTGCCCACATCCACCTCCAAATCCTACCTGCAGCTTTTGAATGAGGCTGTTGACATACTGGGTCCCCAAGACGTCGAAACACGTCTTGTCAGCTGTGGAGAAGAGGAACAAGGCAGCAGCAAGAACGGTGGTCAGCATCATCTTTACTAAAGGTGGGAGGTCAACCTGCAGGCACCTTTGAATCAAGCTGTATTTAAAGCTCCCATTCAAATAGGGAAAAACCCTAACATCAAAGTGATACCAAGGACTCACTTCTTCTCTGTGACTCAGTTTGATTTTTTTTTTTTTTTTCAATCTCAAGTGGCCCCAATTTACAAAGAAAAAGAAAATCCTCAGAAAAGATGCTCTTCAAAAAGTACTGAGATACTGGAGGAAAAGTTAAGATCTTAAAACCATACTTTTTCACAGCAAGGATTCTGGGTGCGGTGAGAGCTAGATTACTTTCCATGAAAGACCAGGTCTGTATTTTCCCTCTTGACATTATTGGAAATGCTGATATAATAGCCAGTCATGGGCACTCACATGAAGGGGAAGACTGGGGTTAAGGGGACAAATGCTATTGCAGGATAGCTCTTCTGTATGTCTGCTTTTTCTCTTAGTAATTGCAACCTTAGTCTTACTCTACTTTACCCCCATCTTAAAAATGTCTTTTACACCTGGGGCCAGATTCCCCAATTCATACAAATGCAGGTATCTGAAGGAGGAGCTTTTCAACTACAGGCTCACTAAGTTCAGCCCGTTAAAGTGGCCTTGAGGTTTCCTTAGTACCTTTAGAGAATTTATAGAACACTGTGTGACATCAGGTAAAAGCTCAGTGCTTGATTTAGGACAACAGCTAACATTTGTTGAGTATTTACTAAATACCAGCTACTGTTCCAAGCACTTGTGTGAATTAACCCATGTTAACTTGCAGATTCACCAAATGTGACAGGCATTTGTCATCCTTTTATTACCTTTTAAAGTACTCTCTGTTTCTTAGCTTCTCAGAATTTTATTGAAACTTGGGCTTATCACTACAGACCATAAAGTACTGTGCTGTAGTAACCTTAATATATTCCTAATAAACTAAGGCACAAAGAGGTAAATCATCTACCCAAAGCCACATAGCCACGAAGCAGCAGAATCTGAGCTCAACCCCAGATGTCTGGCTCTTGGGTCCAACACATAACTTCTCTGCCCTCCTTCTTTAATTGTTTTTGTCTACCTCTCCCACCAAGAAATATGCTCCATGTGCATGGAGCCTTGGGGTTAAACATTACCCCTATATTCTTACCTCTTAGGAACGAATGTGGGGCATAGTGAATGCCCACTAAGTGCATGTTAAATTAAAACATTACTTTGAAGTTGTTTTTGAAATAATAAGATACACATAAACTGGGATTTTAAAAGGCTTCAAATCTACTTTATTTGGAAGTATATACAGGTGGTGCTGTGGGTTAATGAGCTGGACTGAAAAGTTGGTTTGAACTGAAAGGTTGGCAGTTCAAGCTCACCAGCTGCTCCTTAGAAACACTATGCAGGGTCATTATGAGTCAGAGCCAACTCAGTGGCACTGAAGAACAGCAACAGCAACAGGTGAGACCACAGTCTTCAGCATAGCTTTCACCTCAATGTAAAGAAAATGAAAATCTTCCTACCTAGACCAATAAATAATAAATACCATGATAAATGAAGAAAAAAATGAAGTCATCAAAAATTTCCTTTTACTTGGATCCACAATCAATACTCATGGAAGCAGCAGTTAAGAAATCAAATGACATATTGCTTTAGGCAAATCAGCTGCAAAGACCTTTTAAAGAGTTAAAAGCAAAGATGTCATTCTGAAGACTAAATTGTGCCTGACCCAAGGAATGGTATATTCAATCCCTTCATATGCATGCATACCTGGAGATAAGGAAGACCATAGAGGAATTGGTGCATTTGCATTATGGTGTTGGTGAAGAATATTGAAAGTATAATACACTGCCAGATGAATGAACAAATCTATTTTGGATGAGGCACTGCAGATTTCTGCTTAAAAGCCAGACTTCATCTCTCCTACTTTGGATGTGTTGTCAGGAAGGACCAGTCCCTGGAGAAGACCATAATATTTGGTAAAGTGGAGGGTCAATGAGAAAGAAGAAGACCTCCAACAAGATGGATTGACACAGTGGCAGCAAAAATGGGTTCAAACATAGAAACAATTGTGAGGATAGTGTAGGACTGGGCAGTGCTTCATTCTGTTGTGCATAGATAGTGTCACTATATGTTGGAATTGACTTGATGGCACCTAACAACGAGTTAGAATATACATCCTCCATACACTAGACACAGAAAAGGTGAAGGTTCTTTACCACAGCACTTTGAACTATAGTAGGCCACAGGGACAAGCTCATAAAATTTTCACTACAATGTACAATCTAGTGTCCTGGTGTGGCCTAATAGGATAAGCACTGGGTTGCTAACCACAAGACTGGTGCTTCAAACCCACCATTTACTCTTTGAAAACCCTATACAGGGTCACTGTGAATTAGAACAAACTCTATAGCACTTAAAAACAACAACAATATACAAGTCTGTCAATACTACTTCCTTACTCGGTCCTTAGGAAAGAGAGTGGATCATCAGTGGTTGACTGCTCTGTTTTGGGTTGAGTGGGAGCAGTGGTGTCTTGATGGCAGCAAGAAGAGAAATTGACTTGTTGTTAAATTCCCCAAATCATCCAGTAGTCCTGACTTCAGGCACTGTAGAGAAGACTCCATGGACTCCCAAGCTATGGCAAAAACTTTCTATTACAGAGTCCAGGATCCACGCCCATTTCTTACCGATAGACTTCTAATTGGTTCTGGTGAAAATGCACCCAGTCACTTTCTTAGCTTCTCTTGTTGCTAGAGGCAGTCATGCAACATGAAATGCATGTATAATTATCTTGCTTTCCTGATAATACGGGACAAATGAGTCTGAGACCTGTCCTATCCCTGGCAAACAGTCCCAGTATCCAAATTTGGGCATGGGTGTGATGGTAGCAGTTATTGTAGCCATCTTATAACTACCAAAGAATGGACAAGAGAATTGTGGCAATGGCAACACTAGAAAATAATCATGAAACCATAAAAAAATAAAATAATGACAGGTGGGCATACCCACTAGCAAGGACAAGCAGAGCAGCCTGGAACAGCTAGAGCAACAGAAGATACATCTTCAAAGAAAGATCATCAGAGAAAACCCAAAACAAAAATGGCAGTATGATTGGCTACTACAAGAATAAGCAAGCTGTTTGCCGGGAAGCCATTATGGCAAGCAATCAAGTTCCTTCAGGACAAACCCCCCTCTAAGACTGAAACTCAAAGGGAACACACAAACAGGCATGTAAGCTTGTTGTCGACCACAATAGTCTACTGGTGAGTGGAAGAGAGGGAAAGGCAGCAATGAAGAAATGGACTGAGTTCAACCACGGTCCATAGACTCCTGTTGACCTGAAGATGAGGAAGGGCTGATTGGTCCAAAGTGTGGTGAGACCTGGGGACACCTGAGCCCATGGACAAGGACATAGCCATGGAGAGCTAGAGCTGAGAGTGAAGCAGCCAGCTGATATGAAGGGGTGGGGGAGAAGCACAAGAACACCCACACTTGCAGGTAGTATCCATTTGACCTAGTCTTGATGGCTTGATAATCAGAACTTGACTAGAGGAAGATGAAAAAGAAAAGAATTTTTGATAAAGGAAATGAGGATAAATTTCTAAAATTTGATTAACTTGACCTATAGTCAAAATACTAACAGAGAGGGAAGGAGTCTTCACATCAAGTATCAAACACAGGATAGATAGGAACGGGCAACTTAGACATTGGCTATCTAAAATGAAGGGGTGAAAAAGGCATGAAGTGACTGGCTTACAAGGTTTCAAGAGGGAGTTTAGTCTAAGAGTGTGTGTGCGCGGGGGAGGGAGATAGAGTCCCTACTGAAGAGTTTTCATCTTGTCTAGGTGGGTCTGGTTAAAAGAGATGGGGATAAGATTCTTATGATTCAATAGTGAATAATTGTTATCATGACTAATTGTACCTGCCACAATTATAAAGGCAGAAGTTTTGTAA